CCTTGACTGGAATCGAACCTGGGACCTTTCAGTCTGCTTTATCCACTGAGCCAAATTGGTTAGGGCACTGCCACATTCTTCACCACAAAAATTACCATTCATGAAAAAGGTTAATCTACAACAAAAAAATGCTCTTGTATATCATTCAGGAGTTATCAATATCCAAAACTAGAGATCCATTTCACTCTGATAATCAGTTTTAAAAGAAATATACCTGGAGACAAAAAGTATATATTGGAGCTAGGTTTAATCTCTCTTAATTTTTGTTATAAACAGATATCCTACTTTCTGTAATACTATCATAGTCAAGATGTGCAAGTTCATGTTGATGAGAAATATTCCATCTTCTAGGACGGAGTACCTGTCAATCACAGTATGAATATATTTTACATCATGATGCATTTGTAAACAATGTAAATAAAACAAAACAAAACAAAACTTACTTAACATTATATGAGATGCACTCTGCTATTCTAGATTCTTTTATTTCATTTAAAAAAAAAATGCTGGTTATGAAACACTAAACTGATCTCAGTCACCACCTACAGCTTGAAAAACAATATTCCAGAAAAATCACAAAGATCTAGAATTAAATTCTTTTATAAAAAAATATTTTTATTGATTTCAGAGAGGAAGGGAGTGGGAGAGAGAGAGATAGAGATATCAATGATGAGAGAGAATCATTGATCAGCTGCCTCCTGCACGTCCTACACTGGAGATCAAACCCGCAACCTGAGCCTGTGCCCTGACTGGGAATCGAACCGTGACCTCTTGGTTCATAGGTTGATGCTCGACCAGTGAGCTACACCAGCCGGGCCTCAATTAATTTTTGAAATTGGACTTCGAGTTTTGCATTTGCAGTACTTACAACCATTAAAGATTTGACTGTGCTGGCATGAAATCCTGCTTCTAAAATTTATTATATTTCTCGATCACAGTGAAAAAGCAAACAGGTTGTCCCTGTCTGTGCATTTCGCTGGAGGGCTATCAGAGAGGGCACCCATTTCAAGCTCCTGGCTAGAGCGAGGCTTTGTGTGAATTGCAATGAGAGGCGAATGGAAGACGGCACTCACCTTCAGCCAATGTCAGGACTTCCATGACTTTGACCGGGAGAGACGATCCAAACGTCTTCACGTCGTAGTTCATGGTCTCGGTTATGGAGTGATGTGGGAACATTCGTGTGGGTGTTCCTCTAAAGAAGAGAGACCTCATTGTCACCATAACTTACATTCTCCATCAGCCTAATGTTTACGTATCTATTTCCACAATAAAGGGAAGAGCTTTGATAAACAAATATGAAGTGGAACAGTGAAAAAAAAAAACTCTGGCTCGTGTATTCGTAATTAAGTGTATTTTTCATTAAAGATAGATGGGGTTTAGGAGACCCCGGCCTTACACTTTTATACTCTAGTTTCTGGATGCATGTGTCATTCACCTAAACCAGTGGTTGGCAAACTGCAGCTCGCGAGCCACATGGGGCTCTTTGGCCCCTTGAGTTTTTAACAAAGGGAGGCTTAGAAGAACCCTAATTAAGTTAATAACAATGTACCTACCTATATGGTTTCAATTTATAAAACTTGGCTCTCAAAAGAAATTTCAGTTGTTGTACCGTTATTTCACTCTGTTGACTAATGCGTTTGCTGACCACTGACCTAAACTCTTTATAACTCTGCTTCCTTAGCTTTGACATAAGGTTGGACTAGATCAGAGTTTTTCAAATTGTGGGTAAAACTGAGGGTCTCGATCAATCAACATTTAAAAAAATATATATTTTTTTTATTGATTTTTTTACAGAGAGGAAGGGAGAGGGATAGAGAGCTAGAAACATTGATGAGAAAGAATCATCAAACAGCTGCCTCTTGCACACCCCTCACCAGGGATGTGCCCGCAACCAATGCACATGCCCTTGACTGGAATCGGACCTGGGACCCTTCAGTCCACAGACCGATGCTCTACCCACTGAGCCAAACTGGTTTCGGCCAATCAACATTTTTGAAAACAAGACAGGATATAAAATATGAATATAAATTCTGGTAACAAAACTACTCTTAGCTCCCTGCTATGGTCAAACAAGTTTTACAAACTTCGGATTACATTTTCTTCTAAACTCTTGTCACTGCTAGAATGACAAGACTCTACCAGATCTGCATAATCAAGCAAGAAATTAAGTAGGATCCCTGGCTGGTGTTTCCCAATAGTTGGGGCATTGTCCAGCACACCGCAGGGTCAAGGGTTCGATTCCTGGTCAAGGGCAGGTACCTGGGTTGCAGATTCACCCCCTGCCCCAGTTAGGGAGCATGTAAGAAGCAACCTCAATGTTTCTCTCTCTCCCTGAATAAGCAATGGAAAAAATATCCACTGGTGAAGATTAATAAAACAACTACCACAAAAAAAGAAATTAAATGGGTCACACGTATCTGCTGCTGCCTGCTATTCAATACAGCCAATACAGCCAAAGAAATTATATTTTTTTCTTTTCACCTTCATTTTAACATTGAGAAAAAAATGGAAAGTCACCAGTTTAAACGTTATTCTATCTCTTATCATATGGAGATTAAATGAGAAGACTTCAAATACAGAATGGTCCAAAGCTTTGTTCACCAACAGGGTAGGACAACAAAGATTTTTTTCTTTAAAGGATCATCACCTGTCCTAGCCGGTTTGGCTCAGTGGATAGAGCGGTGGGCCTTCAGGCTGAAGGGTCCCGGGTTCATTCCAGTCAAGGGCACATGCCTAGGCTTCGGCTCTATCCCCCATAGGGGGCATGCAGGAGGCAGCAATCAATGATTCTCTCTCATTATTGATATTTTTCTCCCTCTCCCTTCCTCTCTGAAACTTGCCTCCTCCTAAAGCCCTGGATTAATTGCGGAAGGGGGCGTGGTGTGGACCAGCGATGCGGACCAGCATGCCAAGTTTTTATCTGGTAACAAAGCTCTTCTCATCTCCCTGCTTATGGGAAGCCTTTTCCCTGTTACTTTAGTTGCAAGCGAATGTGTGTAGCTAAAACCCCTTCATCATCCCGATGGGCAGAGTCCCGGCAGTTAGCACGTCAGGTCTACACAATGACGGGGGGTCGGGGGCTCATCCCCACCATCGCTCTCTATCCGCGTCGGCATTTCCCACGGACGCCTCCGGCCGGAGTGAGGCGGACTCGGGGCAGGTACCATCCCCGCCACTGCACCGACGGGAGAACCTCACACCAGGTCACAGGGCTGGGAGGGCGGGCGGAAACCACCGATGCCAACACACTCTGCCCTTCACCTCCATTCAAACGTAACCCCCCGCAAGTGCGAGAGCGAAACCGCGATCAATGGAAGTGATGCCCAGTAACCTGCCAGGGCAGGGGCGATCGCTTACCGCGAGCCCAGCGAGCTGTGCCGGCCGACCGGAGAGAAGAGCGCGGGGGAGCCGCCCGCCGACCCCAGCGACAGACCCTTCCTGCCGGCCGCCCGCGGCGTGGAGCCCGGCCCGACTCCGCCCAGCGGGCCCCTCCGGGCCCCCGGCCCCGGGGTCCGCGGAGAGGAGACGGCCGGGAACATGACGGAGAGGAAAAGCTGCAGAGCGCGCGTAGGTTCCGGCCGTGGGGCTGGCGCGCGGAGCTTGAACACGGGGCGGGAGGGCGCGCCGTGAATACGTTAAAGCGCCGCGCCGCGGGCTGGGAAGGAGGGCTCAGGATGATGACGTCAAAGCGCCGCGCCTAGGAAGGAGGGCACAGAATGGTGACGTTAAAGGATCGCGCCACGGTCTGTGAAGGAGGGCGCGGGACGATGACGTCAAAGGCGCTGGGCGAGTGCGCGGGATGATGACGTTCAGCGCAGCGGAGAGGACTGGGGGAAAGGTGAAAGGCTTAGCCAAAGGACACAGATGCATGAGCTATAGACACAGAAAACGGGGTGCTGATGGTCACAGGGAGGGGAACGTGGGGGGCTTGGTAGAGGTAGGCCAAGGGGTGGGGGTGGAAAAAGATAGACTCAAAGTGAAGGGGTGGAAAATAGCATCCAGAGGAAAACAGGTAGTATAACTATATCAGACAAAATAGATTTCAAGATAAGAAAGGTAACAAGAGACCAAGATGGATATTTCATAGTGATAAAGGGGACAAAACATCATAAAGATATATGTATGCACCCCACTAGGCAGTACCAAAATATATAAAGCAATCACTAACAGAACTAAAGGGAGAAACTGACAAAAATAAATTTATAGTAGGGAACCTGAATACCCCATTGACACTGATGGATTGATCATCCAAACAGGAAATCAATAAGGAAGTATCAGCCTTAAATGACGCATTAGATCAAATGGACATAATTGATATTTATCAAGTGTTTCATCATAGAACAGTAGGGAACATTCTCAACACAGACAAAAGTAGCCTCACTGGTTTAAGAAGATTGAGATCATACCAGGGATATTTTCCAACCACAATGCTTTTAAATGAGAAAATAAACTACAAAAAGAATGCGGAAAAGAACCACAAATATGTGGAGATTAAACAACCTGGTACTAAACAAAGACTGGGTCAAAGAAGAAATAGAAGATGACCTTCTTAGATGAGAATGACAACATAACATGAAGATTTGAGAGAGGCAGCAAAAGTGGATCTAAGAAGGAAGTTTACAGCATTACAGACTTACCTCAAGAACAAGAGAAATCTCAAACAAATAACCTATAACATTTCACCTTGGGTAACTAGAAAAAGAAAAGTCAGTAGAAGGAAGGAAATAATAAAAATTAAAGCAGAACTAAACAAAACAGAGAAAAAGTACAGTAGGAAAATACATGCAACCAAGAACTGGTTCTTTGAACATAACACCAAGTTCTGGCCAGTGTTGCTAAATGGCTAGAGCGTTGGTCCTCACACCAATCACTGATCAAGGGCACATACTTGGGTTGCAGAGTATTGTAGACTTGCACACTTGAAAGTTAGCATAATGCTGTTAATCAGTCACCCCAGTAAATTGAATAAAAATAGCAAAAACAAAAAAAGGGACAGACACAAAGTTCACTATAAATTTTAATCCACGATATAAATGTTACCTAAAGACACGCTGCATATCTTGTGTTAGAAAATACACATAATGATCAAGTTCGGTTTTGTGAGTCCTTCAATGGCCCAGACTTCCCTCACGCCCAGCTCTGTAGCTGCTCAGCCACACCGTCACAGTGAAGTCTGTTCAAATGATGGCGACAGATGTACTGCTCACCAACCCAAAACACTCAGTTTGCACATTCATGAATGAATTCCCTGATGTAGAAGGAAATATAGGACTCCATGCTTATCATGGAATCGTGGATTCCTCTTCCAGTCTAACCAGGAAGCTAAGGATTGCTTAGTACAGGGGAAAACTTCCATCTGAATTAACTCAATGCAGTTACTTCTTAGGTGTGGTGTCACCAATGCAGAAAAAACCCCCACTTTTTTCTTGAGGCAAGAGCAAATGATCAGCACTGACGCGAAATTTGGCAAATCTGGTGGCTGTCAGCATTGCTTTATGATTTCTGAGGTAAAGGAAACTATAGTCGTAAGTAGAAGAAAAAGTTATTAACGTCCTCTTTTCAGAAGACTGACGAGTTCTCAAGGTTTCTTGGCATTCTGTAGAATAGCAAGAATGTCTAAACCTTCTTCAAATGCTTTAAGCTTGAAAATGATAGCTACATCATTCGGATGTTAGCCTCATTAGGTGACATTTCAAATGTATTTAAGTAACTGAGAAAAGGCTGTACAATTTGGGCTAGGGCTTATACATGTTTAAAATCCAATTTTCAGAACGCGCCTTAGGCAACATCACATAAAATTCATCTTTACATCTTTCTAGATGATGCCTGGCAGTCCACGCCTCTTTCCATGGGGCTCTCGGAAAGAAATGTGTGAGCAATGCAAATAGAAGTTTTCCTGGAAAAACCACACACCCACACACAGCCTCGGCAAGAGGGACATGGCCTCCTGAGCTCTCACGCCTCTGAAGATGCAGGGGAGGGAGAATGTAAACGCCCCCTTCTCGCCAGGAGACAGTCACCGGCTCTGTGTATGACACCCGGGTTCACTCCATGAGATGAGGATAAAATAGATGGCGAGGTTTTCATCTTCTATGACACAACTCAGTACCATTCCACCCAAGAGGGCAGAATGCTACCGAGAGAACTACACAGTGATTGGCAGACTGGCCTAAAATAATTAGGCTTTTAAATTTATAATTCCCTTTTAAAATTGTCATTTGACAACAGCTTCCATCTCGAACAGCAGGTAAAAAAAAAAAAAAAAAAAAAAAAAAAAAATGAGGTGCCATGCTGTATGAAAACATCCCAAGATAAAATAAAGTATAAAACCTGAAAATAACTTCAGTGCTATAGACATTTAGAAAGTTGTAATTATTAAAACTCTGGCTGTAAAGGTCTTAAGAACAGGTTCATCTCAAAACAATAGTTTATATACTTTGGGAAAAATAGGCATATTTCAAAGAACTTGAAGTCTGATTTAGATTCCATACCATCTCTAAGAAATTCCCCCCTGCAATGCTGTTGTGTCTTAAAGTGTCTCGTATTCCCTTTGCCAGCAATTGCTTCTTTATGTGGAAATGAAGCTTTGTTTGTTCATTAATTTCCGGTATATCCCGTCGGGTTTGGCAAGCAGCTCTTCATGTTTCCCACACTCGATGATTTTCCCTCGGTCCAGAACAGCCACCATGTTAGCGTTCTTGATGGTGGACAGACGATGGGCAATGATCAGTACGGTTCTTCCTTCCATGAGCCGGTCTAGAGCTTCCTGCACCAGGTACTCGTTCTCAGCATCCAATGCGCTTGAGCGAGAAAGCAAAGACGTCAGGGCCGGGCAGACCGAGGCCCATGTGTTCACTTTACACACACACACACACTCACAGACACACAGCGGCCCTGCGCTAGCAGTGGGTGTTCACTAGGGTCAAGGTCACTTTTCGGGCCTACATGACATATCTCCTAGTCTAACCAGACTATCAAACAGGAAGCGGGGCCTCTACATTCCCGCAGAACCTGTCACAGAGGTAGAAGCCGGTGGCAGTGATCAGGAATGCATCACACACGTGTCTGAACTGGAGCTCCAGCCCTCCCTCCTGCTCAGCCAGCCCCTGCCTCCCGCCGTCACTCACTCGGACTCTCTCTTTAAAGCAGGGACGGGGCCCTGGCAGCGGAACACTGGGACATACGAAGCTGAGTCTTTGGAAAAGGAACGTTTGCTTTATACAGTCACACAGCGCTCAGACAGCCTCACCTGGTTGCTTCATCCAGGAGGAGGATTCTGGGATTCTAAAGAAGGACAACCATGGAAAAGAAAACATATTTTTATTAGAAAAACACCCACTCCCAGGAATGAAGACAAAGGAAGTACGGTGCATGATACAACACGAATGAAGCTTGAAAACCTTCTGCTCAGTGAGTGAGTCAGATGCGAAAACAGAACCACCGCCCCCGGGGCCGCAGGCTCACCTTCAGCAGCGCCCGGGCGATGGCGATCCGCTGCTTCTGCCCACCTGAGAACGACAAGGGGGTTTAGTGCGCAGCCCGAACAACAGGCCTGGGAACGGGCTTCCTAAGAAGGACTTCTTCCAGGCAGTCCTCGCTGACACGGATGGCAGGACCGAAACCTGTTTTAAAATACACTCCCTCCTCATTAACCTCAAAATTCATAGTGACAAACATTATCCTAGCTGCCCAGGCATTTTTCCTTTCCCTTCCCTTTTCTTCCCTTCCCTTCCCTTTCCCCTTCTCTTTTCCTCACCCGAGGATATTTTTTCCATTGATTTTAAGAGAGAGTGGAAAGGAGAGCAAGATACACCGATGTGAGAGACACACATCGATTGATTGCCTCCTGCATGCCCCCAACCAGGGCCAGAAGTCTGGAATCAAACCCAGGACCCTTCAGTCTGCAGGCCGATGCTCTATCCACTGAGCCAAGCCAGCTAGGACTGTGCCAGGCATTTTCTAAATGCACTACATGTACTATCTCATTTAATCTTAAAAATCCTATGAAGTAGATGCTATTTCTATTCCCTTTGCACTGGGCACAGGAGAAGCTGTGCGAGCTGGTGCGTGGCAGAGCTGAGGTCTGCACCTGCAGAGGAAGGGCCAGCAGGGGGGCAGGGGCCCAGTGCCCACCAATTTCTCAGCAGAACATGCAGAGGATGGGAGCAAAGGGCATGGGAGGTGCTGGGCCTGCCACCCATGGTTCCACCTCAGAGCGTCACCCGACCCTTCCTTCCTCCCTCAGGTCATTCTCTTCCCCGGCCCAGAGAAGAAACTGGGACATACAGTGGTTTGTGTGCACGTATGAAACTGGAGGTAACAGAATAAACCACGCTAACCCCCCATTTTTAGCCCTGGCCGGTGTGGCTCAGTGGATAGAGCATCGACCTGTGGACTGAAGGATCCCGGGTTCGATTCTGGTCAAGGGCACATGCCTGGGTTATAGGCTCCATCCCCAGTGTGGGGCGTGCAGAAGGCAGTGATCCGAGATTCTCATCACTGATGTTTCTCTCCCTTTGCCCTTCCCCCTTCCTCTCCGAAATCAATAAAAACACATTTGAAAACAGAACGGCAGGCACCTGAGAGGAGGACGCCCTTCTCGCCGACCACCGTGCTGAACCCCTGCGGGAAGCTGCGGATGAACCCAGTGGCGTTGGCGACTTCCGCCACCTTCTCCACCTGCTCGGCGGTCACCGCAGAGGGGTCATCTGCCCCGTACGCAATGTTCTCAGCGATGGAGCAAGAAAACAAAATTGGTTCCTGCAAAATGGAAGTGGGACTTGCTTATCTCACATTTCAAGACAGACTTCACACGCCTGGAGACCGCGGAGCTCACTCAGCACAGCACTTAGATCTCAGAGACTATTCAGCTGCCCCCAACAGCTCACGCTTTCTTGGCTCCACTTCTTCATTCCTCATAAATCACCCAGCAGCACTGACCTCATCATCTGTAGCTCCCACCCCCTTGCAGGGAGCGAGATCCCAAGGCAGAGGCCTGCACAGCGCTCAGCACACAGTAGGCGCTTCATAAATGCAAGCTCCCTCTTCTCGGGAGTCGTGAGGCCCTGGGAGGCCACAGCCCCTCTGCATTTTCCGCGACCTGCCTTCCACCGAGGACATTGCTTTTTAACATGTACGCAACCAGCCCTGGCTGGTTCGGCTCAGTGGATAGAGCATCGGCCTGCGGACTGAAGGGTTCTGGGTACGATTCCAGTCCAGGGCACATGCCCAGGTTGCGGGCTCCATCCCCAATGTGGGGCGTGCAGGGGGCAGCTGATCCACAATTCCCTCTCATCATTGATGCTTCTCTCTCTCCCTTCCTCTCTGAAATCAAATGAAAATGTATTGCAAAAATAAATAAAAAATAAATTAAAAAAAAGTCAGTGCTTCAACGGGTTAGAGTGCGTGAGGTCCTGAGAAACAGCACTGTTTACAAACCTATGCCCCCTGCCACGGGCGACCAGCTCAGTGCGTCTGGAAGCCGCCTCTCCTCCTTCCCCGAACTGTCCCTCCTTTGCTAAACTCACGACCAAGCAAAGAGCGAGCGACCAAAGCAGCTTTAAGAGAAAAACACCATAAAAGCCACCCCTTCCTCCTACCTGACTGACGGTCCCGATCTTGGATCTCAGCCAGACTGGGTTCAGCTGGCGGATGTCACGACCGTCCAGACTGATGGCCCCTGTAGGGGAAGGAAAGCACTGGTCACGGGGCTGCCCACGCGCGTAAACACAGTCTGGTGGGGAGGTTCCAGGCCAGTCTCGGGAGCATTTTGAAGTGGAAAGAAGTTTGCATCCCAGCTTTTTGCACAATGGAACGCTCTGGCAAGGCACAGGCGTGAGACAGCCCCGCTCGCCCTCCGCGGGGAGGACCCCTCACCTGACAGGGGGTCGTACAGCCGCAGCAGGAGTGAGACCACCGTGGACTTGCCAGAACCACTGGGGCCAACCAGCGCCGTGACGGACCCCGCGGGGATGGAGAGGCTGAAGTCCTGGAAGATGGGCACCTCCGGGCGGGCCGGGTAGGAGAAGTGCACGTTCCTGAACTCCAGAGCACCCTGGAAGCTCTTCTCGTTCAGGGTCAGCCCCTCTGAAACGGCAGACGGAGCATCCTCGCTCAGCGCGGTGAACGCAGCTCCCGCCTTCAGGCCGGGCAGGGAGCACACCTGTCGGCCCCACGGGGAAGGACCACACGCTGCAGACCCACCATTGAAAGGCAGCTCCGGCTTCCTCTCCAGCAGCTCCCAGAGGCGGCCCCCGGCGCCCAGGCCTTTCATCAGCTCCGAGTAGAACGAGCTCAGACCTGCGGGGAGAGGCGCACATCCGCCACTGGTGCGGGCCACAGCCGCCGGCTGCCCCATCCGCGGGGCGAGGTGACAGCGTGCGTTTCACATAAGACCTGCTGCTTTCGAAGAGGGACCTCAGGCAGCTGCCTGGGCTCCCAGGACCAGAACCCCCATCTCACACCCGCATTCTCCTTCAGCTCCTCCTCCTCAGATTTCACGGCTTTCTAATAAGGATTTGGTGGCTGGTCAGGGAGTTTACAAATACATATGGCCACACTCATCAACCGCTGAATTCAAAGCACAGAGCTACAGAGGAAATTCTGCCTAGCCCAAAGCATAACAACATAAACAAAACACATATAAGGTTATCCCATGCTTAAAGGGAAAACATTCTAGCACAGAGTTCTTTCAGGTGCTGAGAGAGGGGCCAACAGGAGAGTGAGTTTCCCTTTCAGACACTAGAACCCGGTTTTCCACGTGAACGGCCCACCCCTGGTTAGATCATATACCTCCGATGCTCAGTCCAACCCAGAAAGCGTACATGAGGAAGGAGGAGAGCTCCCCCACGGTCATGTGGGCGCTGCCCATCAGCAGCCCGCCTTTGTACAGCACGGAGAGCACGATCAGGTTCCCCGAGAGCCCGGTCTGCGAGGGAGGAAACACGGAAGTCAGGTGGGAGGCGAAGACCCAGACAGCAGACAGCAAGACCACGGCCTATGACCGCTTCCTGCATCTAACGGTCACAGCCAGGCTTCCCCAAGCTATTACGGTGCCCTCTGAATGTCAAACAAAGACGTACTTTCAACAGATTGCAATATCGAAAGAAATCATCTCATCAACACAGAAACCCAGAAGCTGAGTCACCCCTCAGGTTCCCATTCCACTCTTATCTGCTCAATTTGCAAAAGAAAAAAATAACATGAAGGATTCCTTTGCTCACTGGAGGCAGTGAGCACATGACTAACATGTGTGTTCACATAGTCTCCATGGCGGGCCAGGAGACTGGAACCCGGGATCTCTGATCCACCTTGACGGGTCAGATGTGGGGCTCTTGGGGGGTCTTCTCCAGGCCTGTCCCTCACCTGTTGAGTCCCAGCCTGTGAAGTTCTACCCAGACTGAGCGGGTTAGGAATCGCCTTCAGGGTGAGCTCCTAGCTCAGTGTCCCATGTGAGTTCACTGAGATCAGCTTTCGGGCATTTCCTTCTTGAAGTGCTGAGGGTGTGCTGGCCAACCCTCAGTGGGCTCCCACTGCTCGCATCAGAAGACGCGGGAACCTGTTCTAACAGATTGCTGGCCCCCCGTGTCGTTTCCGTTCGACAGGTCTGGAAGGAGCGGACAGTCTGCCCAGGGGACGCTGAGAACCAGTGCCTGATCCCACAGTGTCTGGTCTCCTTGCCCACTGCCTTCCTTCAATGCATTTACTGGTTTCTCCTCTTTCCAAAACATACTCTAAGGATGACAGCTCTTTGTCTAGAGGTAGAATGGACTCACGGTCTACTTATGGCCGGAGTTGCAGGATAGAAATCTCTCCCAGGGACGCCATCCTCCTTCTTCCTTCCCACACGATGCACTTACTGCTCCGAAGAAGCCGGCCCGAGCAATGGCCTCCTTCCTCGCCAGCTGCAGCACAAAGTCCACTTTGCTGGTGTATTTCTCGATTTCAGTCATCTCTTTCCCGAAAGCGCGGACAGTTCGGATGTTTCCGATGCGTTCCTCGGCTAGCTGGGAGAACAGAGACACGTCAGGGGGAGAGGGGCAAGGCCACATGTCAAGAGTTCTGGAGGTACAACTAACACAGAAATATATCTTCATGCAGAGAACAAGATTTATAAAAGGGACAGGTTCCAAGATATTAATAATGTTAATTGAGAGGCAGGCTTATGCGTGTTATTTTTTCCCTTCATATTTTCAAACAGAAACATAGATGGTTTTGCAATATAAAAATGTAACAATTATTTTTAATTTTTAAAGAAGACACTATGGGACAGCATTGCAAAGCTACCGTTATTCATTAATGGAGATCAGAGTGTCACCCAGAAGGTGTTTGGGAGATATGGTTAGCTTTTTTGTCCTGCAAGAAGTAGTGATGGGAAGAAGAAAGAAGTAGATCCAGTTATGTTGGATCTATTCTGACACGTGGCAGTAATGCAGTCTAGAAGGCAGAGTGTTTTAGTTCGGATGGAAGGAAAAGTGAGTAGTTTTTGCGAAGTCTGAGCACATTGCTCAGGGTCTGTCCCCACTCAGCGGGGACCGTGCCAAGGCGGGGCCTGTACCTGGGTGGCTTGTGCCAGGGAGTCCTGAGTGAGTTTGGTCAGTTTCCGCAGATAGCGTCCATACACCACGGCGAGGATGGATATTGGAGGCACCACACTCAGAACAAAGGTGGCCAGATGAGGCGAGACAAAAAACTGTCAGAAACAAAGCCAAAAGGTGTCTGTTACACAGAGAAGCAGGAACTCTCACACCCGTTGTAGGTGAGCGTGTGAGTGTGAGTGTGAGTTCCAATGAAGAGACGGCTGCACTGGTGGAACTTTTCATAAAACCCACGAATACTGAGGTGCCACACAGGAGCCACGTGACCAAGAGCTGCTGCAGACAGGGCGGGAGCCTTTGACCCCGCTGTCTGCACCAGGGGGTCCAACGACAGAGAAGGGGAGCAGGGCGGGAGTGAGGGAGAGGCCCGCTCTGCTCACGCTGCGGGACCACGGCAGGATCCTGTGCCCAGAGCCACGGTCCCACCGAAATGACCAAGACGGCACAGAGACCAAACACACCGCGTCCTGTGACGGGCAGACGCGTGACGGGCGGGAGACATAAACGACAAGGGTAAGCAGCGTTACAGCGTTTCCCTGGCTCAGTGGCCGGAAGCATGTGGATCTGACAGCTGGTCAGGCTCAGAGGGGAACCAGCTGACCTCCAGAAGTAGCCTGGGGGGGGCGGTGTTCCTGTCAATCCTGCAATTTGTAGATTTTTAAAAAATATATATTTTATTGATTTTTCACAGAGAGGGATAGAGTGAGAAACATCGATGAGAGAGAATCATCGACCAGCTGCCTCCTGCACACGCCCTACTGGGGACATGCCCGCAACCAATGTACATGCCCTTGACCGGAATCGAACCCAGGACCCCTCAGTCCACAGGCCGATGCTCTATCCACTGAGCCAAACCCGTTTCGGCTGTAGATTGTATCCTAAATGGCACTAGCACCTCTTCAGCAAATTACTGAAGCCTACCAAATCTCAATTGCACAGAAAATAGAATCAAAACAAGGCTCTTCTAAAATGCTGAGAAAAAGGAGCAGACTGCAGTGTGAAGTAATGGACAGAACAATCGTTCGTTCATTCATTCATTTGTTCATTCATTCATTCATTCATTCACTCACTCATTCAGAGGGGGCCGACCTACCATCATGCCAATCCCGACGGAGGCCTGGGCCCCGGCCCGGAGCCCGTCCGAGAGGTTTTCCGTCACCGAGCGGCCCAGGAGCGCGGTGTCCGAGGACAGGCGGTTGACCAGCTCGCCCGTGCGCGTCTTGTCGAAGAAAGCCACCTCCTGCCTCAGGACGGAGGAGAACAAGGAGGCTCGCAGCCGGTTCACGATGCGCTGCCCTGCACAAGCCAGCGGGGGAGGGCCGCGTCAGCCCGAGGTCACCGCCTCTCCGCCGGCAGCCTCCGAGCCTGGGCTGCTGCCCTGTTGACCCCTGGGGACACTCGCCCGGGCCCTGGCAGCTGGGCAGGAAGCTGCCGGGAAGGGGCATTAGTCTCCCTTAGCCAGTGCAGCCTGGAGACGGAGGAGAGGCTGCAGGGACCGTGTAAACACTACGGGACCGAGAGATCCTTAGACTATTTACACAGACGTTTTACTCCAGTGACTGCTCGAAGGCTACCTGTGTCCCCTCCCCGGCAACCTTTTCCGTATTGAACTTCCAAATGGCAATGACTGGTTAATTATCCACCGGGTATTTATTTTATCAGCTAAATGGCAAGCGACCGACGTAGAGCCGGGCGTCCGGGCGCTGTCATGACTGTGGCGGTCGCCCAGCTCCCCCTGGAGGGAGGCCCCGTGCCAGCCTCCAACCTCCCGGGAGACAGACGGCTGCTCCGGCCCAGCCCAATCCAAGTCACGCAGAAGAGGCTGAGGAGAGGCGCGGAGCTAACATAAGCCACGGCTCCTTAAGCCGTAAGTCCCTACTGATTGCTGTTGATTTTTTGAATATATTTGTATTGATGTCAGAGAGGAAGGGAGGGAGAGAGTGAGTGAAACATCAATGATAAGAGAGAATCACTGATTGGCTGCCTCCTGCACGCCCCACCCTGGGGATCGAGCCCACAACCTGGGCCGGGAATCAAACTGGGACCTCGTGGTTCATAGGTTGACGCTCAACCTCTGAGCCACACTGGCCAGCCCCCCTACTGAATGTGATGCAGAGAGAGAAGCCCGGACCCGCAGCACACGACACCCACGTGGCTGCCCTCGGGGCTCCCGGGCGCGGGGCGCTGACCTGAGGTTTGCATGAGGTAGACACGGACAGCGTTGGCCGCCGCTCCGCACAGGAACACGCCGCTGAGGGTCAGGCAGAGGCGGGTGAGGCTGCTGGTGTAGTCCCCGGCGGGGTTGGTGTAAATGACGTCGATGATCTTCCCCAGGAAGAAGGGCGCCGACATGGTGATGACGCTGGACACGGCCAGGAAGCCGACCGCGGCTGCAAGACACGGGCAGCGCTCAGCTCACGGCCGCAGGGAACGGTCGTCCCTCCAGCTCCCGGACCGACCGCAGGAAGAACCCATGGGTCTTGGGACAGAACCAGTAGGGTGGACCATGCTCTGCGTCACCCTAACCTGACCCCCTACCCCCTCACTAGAACCCCAGGACTACCGCCAGCCCCTCCTTCCTGCCTCTTGACCTGGGTGTTCGTCTCAGATGGCATTTTTTCCTACATTCATGCTACCCTTTGCCACGCCTTGGCATCTAACTGTATCCTAGTTTCTAGCTCCAATTATGCAGGGAAAGCTCTTGATGAGTCTAGAATGCCCACACGTTAAGTCAGCGTGGGAAGGCAGTAACAGGTAACAGGCCTTCGTCACACACGGGACAAGCATGGAGGCCGGGCAGGGAAGGAAGTGAAGACATGAGGGGCTGAGAGACGAGCAGGAAGTGGAGGATGTCGGGAGCTGGGCAGGTTCACAGAGGACTCGGCAGAACAGAGGCCTGAGTCCTGGCAGGTCTGGCGCAAGGCCCAACCGTGAGCGTGTGCCAGGGAGCGAGGCGCCTGTGCCACACTGGACTCCAGCACCCGCAGGCATGTCAGGGGAGCCGGGCCATGGAACGTAACATGTTCTGTCACACTGAAAAGAGCATGCCTGCCATGCTGTCTTCATGGCAGGGTCAATGGGGGGATGGGGGGAGAAGAGGGCATATACTAGTAAGAAAGGATTTTTAACAAAGATTTCTTTTTCAACAATAAAGATTTAAAAAAAAAGAGAGAGTAAAGGAATAGGTAAAATTAATTCTAGCAATACATTGACCCAAATATTTGACCCAAACTATCCAACAATATGGATCATGATAAAAAGTATCAATATGTAATCCAACAACATGTAATCAAGATAAAAGTATCGATACTTTACTTTCTTTCATACTAAGTCCTTTCCAAATCTCGTGTGTATTCTACACTTGAAGCAATGCACCGAATGTCAATGTTCTCTTTGAAGTACGGGGTTTCCCGGCAGGCAGACACGCCTGGGCGCAGCTGCAGTGTCCTGGCCAGCACCCACAGCCTGTCCATTTTGGTCCCTTCCTGGTCTGTCTTCATAAAACCTAACTACAGATGCAGCCAGAGCTCCTGGCGGCCATTGGGTTCCAAGAACGGTCCTAATCTAAGGCCACACACACAGCTCTTATCGGGAATTAAAGCGAGAGGCGCCCTCCCAGGCCTCCCCCACACCCCGCCCCCACAGTTCCCCAATGCACATGGGGGTGGAGGGTGGAGGGGATGTACCTTCCCCAGGGTGACTAGGAACCGGCCTGGGAAGTGTGGGAAGGCAGCTGCTCTGCACACCTCGGCCATCACCCCAAGGGCCTCCGGCTGGCAGCCCCGTTAGAATCTCCCAGGAGCCCATTGAAGGCCCAACTCGATGCCCCTGTTCGCCGCCCAGCTCCCCTATCGCCCAGGTGCAGCCGATGGCTCCTATCCCGTCAGCCCACACGGGAGCCCCGCATCTGAGCTGCCGGCCCAGGAGATAAGATGAGGGGCTGTCAGTGGGAAATGCCGAGGGCCACAGCTGCAGAGAGATAGCTGCGCATCCATCCCTACGCCCGGGGCGACGGGGTGGGGGCAGAGGGCAGGGCAGGGAAGTCATGCGAACACGTCTCTGCACGCATCTGCAACATGTCAGACAGGAGGTCCCGGTACAAATGACTTAAGATCAAAGTGTCCTGGCCAGGCAGCTCAGGTGGCAATTTCACAAATCGCTGCAAACGGTTGAAAATACCGTTATTCAAGTGGGTAGCTGAATTTTTTAAATAGTTTAAAAAAAAATATTTGTTTCTCTAAAAGTTAACACATGGATAGTGGAATTCCTTCTCTTCAACTGAGTTTTCTTTGGTCTCTCGATTAAAAAGCAGACACACACACACACACACACACACACACACAACTGCTCTCTATCTCCAGCACCTGAAGGGCATGTTTCAACCTCCGGCACTGCTCTCAGGAAGATAAGTTACAAACTGATGATGACCCCTCACTTCCTCTGCACCCCACTAATGCTGGCACCCAGGCTGGCCCAAGAGATCTTATCGGGTGAGTTCCCAGGAAACCAGATGTCCTAATGAGGGTTTTTTGTCAGATTGCCTCATAAGATACCGCATGTATTTATTATCTGTTTAAAAATATTTTTTTAATTGGTGTATAACGCAATTTACTTCCTCAAATTCTGTGTTCATAGTTATTCAAGGTGGCATATCAACAAAGCTTTCCTTCTTTAAATAAAAGGAGGTACAGCTCTTGCTGTGGCTAGGGCTGTCTTAACATATCAGCATGGCAGGTGTGGGAACCAGAAAACCGTCCTGACATCGAATACCTCAGAGACAAAATAAAACCGGGTTTCCGTATGCTTGCTCCACGCTGCATGGAGAAAGGGGCCACCCCCTGGAGGGCTCAGGGGCTCAGTTAGGCCTCACCCTGGGCCTGGTCCCACCGGCATGTATTCCATCGGCCCCACGCTGAGAACTGGAGGGGGGCAGAGGAGTGGGACGGCCACTCGCCCAAGCAGCTCAGTCCAGGAGCTCCTTGTTTCAAAACTTTCCCTTTTTAAAAAAATACTTTTATTGATTTCAGAGAGGAAGAGGGAGAGAGAGAGAAAAGCATCCATGATGAGAGAGAATCATGGATCGGCTGCCTCCTGCACGCCCCAAACTAGAGATCGAACCCGCAGCCCGGGCATGTGCCCTGACCGGGAATCGAACCGTGGCCTCCTGGTTCCTAGGTCGATGTTCTAACCACTGAGCAACGCCGGCTTGGCAAAAGGATCTTTCTCTCTATCAAAGCCTACACGGGACCAAGTGAGGAACGAACCTTCTTTGCCCCCAAGCTTTGACAGGGGGAGGTAATGTTCCCCCGGGGACTGCCTGCTCCCCAGCACCAAGCCCCAAGTCACCAGCCGCTGTTTGGAGGCCCCTTGCTACGGCAATGGTTTTGCAGTAAAGAATGTGGGGTGCTCAGCCATTTCAAGTGTCTCCCCAAAAGCCTCACAGGCCTCTTTCCAAGCCCTCAGCACAGACGCACTTGCATGTCTAGTCATGTGATCATTTCACTCATGGGAAGTCCCAGCAGGGACAGAAACCGAGTTTCTCTCCAAGGAAACCCACAACTAAACAAATGAAGATTTTTGCCCAACCAGCATGGCTCAGTGGCTGAGCCTCGACCTGCCAATCAGAAGGTCACGGTTCGATTCCCCGGGTCTGGTTTGCTGGCTCAAATCCCAAAGATTCTCTCTCATTCATGTTTCTATTTCTCTCTCCCTCTCCCCTCCTCTGTGAAATCAACTTTTAAAAAGGAAAGAAAAGAAAGATTTAGAGAAACCTAAAAAAATGTGCATTTAAAGCTTTCTCTAATTAATGCCTAAAAAACGAGGAGCTAAAGAAAATTGTCTTATCTGGATTTTGTTTCCTAAAAGTGTTCATTCTCTTTATAAAAATTACTTTTGATTTAGTTGGGTTGTGACCTATCGTTTCTCAAAACGTCTGGAGTTTACTGATATATCTTTTATTTTGTTGTTAATCCTCACCTGAGGATATTGTCCCATTAATTTTGAGAGTGAGAGAGACAGACATTGATTCATTGGCTGCCTTTACCTAAGCCACATCCATAGCTGGGGATCCAGAGCCTGCAACCGAGGTACCTGTCACTGACCAGAATCGAACCCGGGACCCTTCAGTCCCCCGGACCCACGCTCTTTCCGCTGAGCCAAACCGGCCAGGGCAAAACTTCTCGAGTTTATATACATCAGTCAGCCGGGCCAGGTTTGAATGCTCTGAAAATAGCAAAGCAACTCCCTCCCCATCACCCCAGGGGCAAAAAGCAGTGGGCCTAATGGGAAAGGCTTAGATGGTTCCACTTCACCTGGCCAAAACCCACTGCTCTAGTAACCCTGCCTAAATAAAGCAAGTCAGTGTGAGCGCGTAATACAAAGCAGGTATGTTTTTGGCTCGAGTTTTAATTTGTAAAAATAAGAGATGGGAGCTCTAATCGGTTTGGCTCAGTGGATAAAGCCTGCGGACTCAGGGGTCCCAGGTTCGATTCCGGTCAAGGGCATATACCTTGGTTGCTGGGCACATCCCCAGCAGGGAGTGTGCAAGAGGCAGCTGATCAATGTTTCCCTCTCATGGATGTTTCTAACTCTCTATCCCTCTCTTCCTCTCTGTAAAAAAATCAACAAAATATGTTTTTTTTAAAAAGAGAGAGATGGGGAGGACGGGGAAACCCGGCTGATTCGCAGAATGCTGGCAGCGCCCAAGAGCGGCAGACCCGACTTTCTAGGTAGACACCACGCCGCGCTCCTCGGATAACGAACAAACCATCGTAAAGCGAATCCTAAAGCTAACCGGACGCCGCTGTGGGTTGAGTGGTTCCGTCCAGCGCTTCTGGGTTCAAAACCCCAAGGAAGAGGTCACCCTGTCCTCGCGGGGCTGCAAGGGCAGGGTCTCCGCTCGGGGGCCGGGACCCCGCGCCGGGGAAGGTGCACCGGCGGGCGGCGGGGGCGGGAAGGGCACGGGGAGCCCTACCTGCCAGTCTCCGGCGCTCGGGGTACGCCAGCCCCAGCAGCTTCTGTGCCTCCGAGCGCCCGGCCGCCGCGGGGCGCAGCGGAGAGTCGTCCCTCGGAGCCACCGCGGCCTCAGGCACCGCCGGTCCGCGCCGCCAGGCCTCGCCCCCCGCGCGGGCGCCGCCGGCTGGGCCGCCGGAGAGCAGGGCGCGCGGGAGGCTGGGGGCTCCGGGGGGCCGCGCCCGCAGCAGCAGGAGCCGCGCCAGACCCGCTCCGCCGCCGGGACCCCCGCCGGGACCCCCGCCCGGGCAGCTGCTCGCCCAGCAGCGCAGGCTGCGCGCGGCTCCCGCACCTCCAAGGGGGCCGGGCCCGGCGCACCAGAGCCGCGGGGGCCCCAGGCCGGTCGGCAGCGGCCGGGACACGGGGGCGCGGGCGGCCGGGGTCCACGCGAAGGTGAGCGGGCCCCGCCTCACGAGCAGGCGCAGCGGCCAGGCGAGCGGCCCGCGCATGGCGCCGCGTCCGAGTGGAGTGTCTGCGCCCGCCCGGCCGGCCCCGCGCGCACGGAGCCCGAGGACCCTCCCGGCCCGGCCGAGCGGAGGGCGTGCACTCCGCGCCGCCCGCCGCCCCGCCCGCTGTCACCCGCCGTCACCCGCCGCATCGGGCCGGCGCCCCAGGCGCCCGCCCCGGGCCGCGCCCCTCGGCCACACCCGCCCTCCGACCGACCCGGGCGCCCTCCTCGCAGCGCCCCCCACCGGGCAGCCGAGGGCCGGCCCGCCGCCTGCCGCCCGCGCGGGCTGGGACCCGGCCCGGAAGTGATGAGCACCGCCACGCCTGCGCACTGGCGCGCAGGGAGCTTTTTTCACGCTCTTCCGTCCACTCTGTTCAGAACCTGGAGCGGCGCGAGCCCTTTCTCACGCCGGCGGAAGGGGCGGGGCGGAGCGCGCAGGCGCGATCACAGGACGCCGGGCGTGAGGATGCGGCTGCAGGACAGCGAGCTGGCTGGGCTGGGCGTACAGCAAGTCCGGTCCTCGGGGGCCCAGCGGGAACGGGTCCTGTCACCCTGTGTCCCAGGGCGGAGCCGAGGCGCAGAGACATTGCTGGAGGGAGCCTCGCTGCGGGGCGGCTCCGTTCTGAAAGGCATTGTGGATGGAGGAGGTGGTTGGCGAAGACATCAGTTTATAACCTGAGCTCAAGTGCAAACGCACATGTGGTCCAGGCACTCTGGACCACATGGAGACCAAGCCGAGTGCCATGTGTGTTAACACGCGCGCCAGGAAAGCTGGAGGAGGCCTCGTGGTGGGCGCCTCTGTAAGCTGAGGGGTGGTCGCGGGGCCCGCTGCTTCCCCGCTGGTTCTTATTTCAGGATCGTGATTGAGGCTGGGGGGGATAGCGGTTCTAGTAATGCGAATTACTATTCCCACTCGAAAATAAGGATAACGTCTCACTACCTTTTTTAGAAATTAGGACAAAATTGCCCGGCTGGCATTGCTCAGAGGTTGAGCATCGATCTATGAACCTGGAGGTCAGGATTCGATTTCCGGCCAGGGCACGTGCCGGGGTTGTGGGCTCGATTCCCAGTGGGGCGTGCATGTTTCTCTCTTGCTTCCTCCCTCTCCGCCCCCCCCCCCCTCTCTCTCTCAAGTCAATAAAAACATACTTTAAAAAATTGGCCACTGAGAAGAGCAAGAAATCTTCTAAGGTGTGCTTGGAGAAAAAAGAAGCAAAGCACTTAGATATGAATGGGTTTGTAGTAAAAAAATAAAAGAAATGGGACAGCAAAGCCAGGGAAGGTTGTGTGTTAATTCTGAGGCAGCAAACAGAACTTCAAATCCTGCCCCCAGAAAGACAGATCCCTTGGCCGAGGCATGGTTGTGCCAAGCAGTGAAATCTGGCCCTCCGTGAATAGAGGCTTCCTAGGTTTGTTTAGTGGCCGACAGGTGTCAAGTTCAGAAGGAACTTCTTTGGATGGAAACTTGAGAGCAGCTGGGATTACTCCCAGGTCAGTTCCACCTGTGGGTTCTTGTCTTCTCTAAGGGTGACAAAGGAGCTCATGGGGACAGCGGCACCGGAAGGAGGCAAACAGCCTCGCCAGCCCGTGGCCCGGCCATAGAGTGAACGGACACATTTCCAAAACATGCAACTGAATGCCAAGTTGAAGTACAGACTAAAGGTTTTAATCCATATACTTAAATACCAATCTGGGCAACAGCAAAATGAGAAGCCTACATACTCAAAAAAAATACCTTTTTTTTTTTTATACAACCAAGACATTTTTTCTTTTTAAATACAGGAATGAAACAAAGGAAAAACTAGTCTCCTTAGAAGCTAGACCTTGAATTTAAAAACTTCTCACTGTTTCCTGTTTTCTCTGTTCAGGACTTTCCTTGGTAATTAATTCTCTTTCTTTCTTCCTTTCTGCCAGTCTATGCTAAAATTAAAATTTACAATCAGATTTACTGAGCCTGTCAGTGTTAAGATATTTCGACTATCCCCAACCCACCCCATATACACATCACAGATCTATCCTTGTGGTTCAAAATAACTGAATATTCTAAAGTTTCTTTATTCCAGAAAAATAAATTATATATAGCTTTTTTTTCTTTTTTCTTTAGACTTTCGGTTATTTTCAATACAAAATGGTAGCATCACCCACAGGACTGAGTGCTCTGAAGAGAAAATAAAACTGCAGAGAGCAACCTGGAGGGGGCGCCCACGTTCTCTGTACACCCTTGTGGACACACAGACAGTCGTCGTCCTGTCCCCCCCCCCCCACCCTCCCCCGCAATACTATTTCAAAGATTTTGGGGAGAAGGTTGAGGAGCGTTCTAGAAAGTTTGATGACCCCACAATAAAATGAGTTCACAAAAAGGAGAAGAAAAAAAAAAAGGCCAAATATGCAAATCATTAAGAGCTTCCATTGAAATCACAAAGTATATACATGATCGGGAAGGTGAAGAACGGCCCAGCCTATTTCTGTGTTTAATCAAACAAGTTCTGCATTAAAAATAACAAAACAAACGCAAAAGCTTCCGGATGATCGCTATTTCCACTTCGGAGAATGATTCGCTCCAACTGGAGAATTTCATTCTTTCCAGCAACACGCCGTGCAGTCCATCCAGCAGAGGGATTCCATTCCAGGCTTTTCCTGCAGGCCACGTGGAAGGTGATACTGCTTTAAGTTGCTAAAGGATCCTTCTTGCAATGTCTCAAATATATATATATATATATATATTTTAAATATATTTTATTGATTTTTTACAGAGAGGAAGGGAGAGAGATAGAGAGCTAGAAACGTCGATGAGAGAGAAACATCGACCAGCTGCCTCTTGCACACTCCCTACTGGGGATGTGCTCGCAACCAATGTACATGCCCCTGACCGGAATCGAACCCGGGACCCTTCAGTCCGCAGACCGACGCTCTACCACTGAGCCAAACCGGCTTCGGCTCAAATATATATATTTTTATCTATAAGAAACATGTCCTGTGAGTTAGCACCATGGGCTCAAGTAAAAAAAATGTGTTTGTTTTTTTGGCACAGAATTCTGGAGTCTCCCTCGACAATCTCCTGGCAGTTCCCGGGTCCTGGCCAGAAGAAAATCACGCGTCGGAAGTACACTGTGGAAATTCTGGCGTCACTGACATCTTGGACCGAGTCCTTTCCCTGGAAATGGTTCAATAAATTAGTTTGAGTTCATTCA